GCAGATAGCCCTCGTGTAGCTATCGTGTTTTTTGTTATTGTTTTTTGTACCCCAGCGAATAATCATTAAGATTACAAACTTATAATCAGTTCTTTTGCTCATAAGATAAAAGAGCTAATAAAAAATATCTTAGATGTAATAAAAGCGTGCGGACACACACACACAAAAGAATTAAGCGATGGCGACTTTATCGGGATCTGGGAGGGACAAGTATGAAATTTCACCTCTTACTCCCTCCTGCACGGATGTTTTATTGTACTGATTAAATGTTGAACATCTCACGAAAGAGGGTGTTGATATCGCTTAATGTTACTGAGTAATTTCAATACGTCTATCAGGGTCATACCCATTCATGTTTAACGTTCATCATTTGTACTGGTATGCATTTTGCTGTATTAGTTCCATTTTGCAGCATATTTTATATGTATTGACATATATATACCCTTTTTATAACACAGTGTATACACTACATAAATGATAGGTTAAGTATGTATAGCAGTAGGTGGCTGATTACTATATTTATAAAACATAGTTAAGGGTGAGAAGTACTTAAGCAGATTTTCCACCATGTATGATATAACAATCCAGCGTGCGTAGTAACTCATTGTTACGTAGGTTTTTCTGGAAATAAGTGTACTATATGTTTAGAAGTCTGTCATAAAATGGTTGAATGTTGGCATAGTTGTGTAAGAAACGAGAATTTGTGGAACGTGGGACTAGGATTGAGCATGCGACTTAAAGGAATGAAATCAAAATTGGCAACTGGTAGCTACGCTTATAATATTGATGAAAATTTTAAAGCAAATATTCATTCGTTAGTTAGCCAGACCGCGTTATTTGTTCAACTTGGGGCATGATGATGGGTAAAACAAAATACGTGACCTATATATGTAGAGAGTAACACTTAGGGTTGATTTAGCTCATAACTTTTTCCAAATTGTTCTCGTTTTGAACTAAAAACCAGAGAAAAATTAAACATTATACTGATAAATTTTAAGAAAATTTCGTATATTATATATATCTACCTACTACCATTTGTTAGCAATAAAACCATATTTTAAGCTTAAATTAACCTTTGCTACTTCAAGCAATTTTACTCGCAACTTGCAAAGAAAACACTTATGTCCTTGTTTTTAAAATGCATAATTATTTCTTGTGTGGTTATATGAATACTCTTCCATAACTAGTGTAACATATATCTTTATTTAGGCGTATTCAAATAATTTTTAAATGTTCGTGCATGCATGTATTTAGTGACAAACTTGTAATGAGGACATGGGAGTGTTGTAAACTTACACCAGTCCTCTACCTTAGACAAAGGTGATATACTACAACACTTGTTGTATAGGTTTATACTTGCATGACCATGCTTACGACCTCTTGGAGTAGAGTCATACTTGTTACAAGGAGTAATACTGAGACTTGTAAAATTAGCATGAGCTGGGTGTTTATCTTCCCTGATTAGGCTGATTATGCTTTTTTATGTTCTTTTTTTTTTTGTTCCCGATGAATAAGCGTGAAGATTACAAACTTATAATCAGCACTGTTATTGTTTTTTCTTTTCGAAAGATTTTCGCGCCATAGGTAGCTCACCGGGGAATCTACATGATTCTATATTTATTCTTGCTGTAACCTTTGTCCTGAATGCACCTGTAATTTCCTTTCACTTATATTGACGCACTTCCTATCTGCTCTCTCACCCTAGCAACCAGTCGTAGTTTTCAACACTTAATACAAAATCCAGCCAACTAAATGAAGACTTACGCCTTGTGAATAAATATTTTAGTTTGGTTACTTATTCTTGTTTTAATTACGTTTGCTGTCCATGTTCATAATATTTTCCGCGTAGTATTTCCAGAAACCTGCTTTTTGCGGATACTTAAACTTTTTGGCAGATGTCAGTGTACTTGATTGAGACAAAAGCTATTTTTATGTCTTCCTAATTAGACAATTGGCTTACTTCTATAAGTCACACTCATTTTGTTATTGTTCTTTTGCTTATTTACAAAATCGTTAGTTTTAATACAAAAACCTTTATTTACATATTGCTTTTAAAAGTAATATATATATCATAGATATACTTTTTGTACTATTGTTCCTGGCTATCTGATAAACCACAGCTTGAGTATAATAAATTATATTATTAATGTTTTAAACCTAATAATAGGTTTTATGTATGCTTGATTGAAATTATTAAAGTGCTTCTTTGATGGTTTTTAGAAATAAATATATATTTTAGTGGAAGTAAGTCACATATATTCTTATTTCTTGTTTGCATTTTTATTTCAAGTTGTAAAACAGATGGCAGGACCATCGCATAGTAACAAGCCTCGCTAATTCATCCCATGGTAACTCCATAGGCAAACAACTAAAACATAAATATGGTAAATGAAAAAACATTTAATGGTATTCATTGTAAAATAATTGCAGTTTTAATTGAAATGAACAATTTTAAATAATGAATATTAAAGTGAAGTAATGTTTTACGTTAGAATTAGAATTCGACGAACCCATTGATTGTATGGCCGTCAGTATTAACACTAACAGTAACAATTAATTACTATAAATATGATATTGATATAGACTTATAGTAGTTGAGTGCACTATATAATTAACATATGGTATCTACTTCATTACAGGACAGGAGTCGATAACGTTTAAATTGTTTTCATGTTTGTGTTAAATTTAAAATTGGCATGAGACCTTTGATAACTCAAGAAAATAGGAGAAATTGTGCACATAATTTCATATTTAAAAATCTGTTTTTATGTATTAATACTATTATTTGACATGGGCCAATTTTATCATACTATGATTCATAGTTTATGTTAACATGCTTGTAATATATCTATTGGTGTAACATATGTATGTGTATATTTATTATATTTTGCAACAAAAATATTTAGTGTAAAAAGGAAAGAAATGTGTTTGATTAGGAATACTTGTTACTCCAACTAGGCATTCGTTAAAAAAATTCAGATAACCAAGTAATTATTATATCTTAATCAGATAGAGATACATGTTATTTGAAGCTCTTTTATTTGTATTTCATAATATTAGACAATTAATAGTTTTACATTCACTTAGCTTTGTTATGAGTTTTAACATAAAATGCCTGTCACTATTTAAATAGTTTGGTATTAAATAGGTTTTTTAATCAAATGCCTTGAAACCCAATACCTTTTGTTTTAGTGATGCATATTTTTCTGTTATTTTTATTTGTGTTTTTCTGGTTTTTGATCATGAAATTACAGATTGTAGTTTGAATCTCACAGTATATTATGTTTATTGTGACATGCTTTAGTTGAACTCATAATCTGAAAGAAAACTACTATGAAAAGCTTTTCTTATCAGTTAAATAATTAGTGAGCTTGCTTACATGATATGGTTTTTGTAACAGTCATGAACTGTAAGTAGAAATATAAAGAATAACTTAGGTAAAACACACAAAAAATGTAAATAATTGACAACAACATTTCATATTGTATTGACAGAATAAAATAATGGTTCGATGTGACTTCAAAATATCAGAGGAATAACAATATTAAATTACAGTAGTACAAATGGGTGTGTAATTTTTGAAAATACTTGTTGTCCAATGAACTAAATGCTAGAAAAATCTATACATAAACACACATAAATATACACAACACACTTTGTAATAAAAAAGAAGGAAACAATTGTTGAGGCAGCTGGATAAGAATTTTGTAAAGAAGAATATAACAAGATCATCTAACAAGTCACAAAAAACAATTATTATTTTGATAAATAAGAATACAGAAAGATAGAGAAAACTGAAACAGCTTTAAGGTAGCAATGTACTATGAATAGTTAATATCCAATTCCTTTATATTTTTAAATAAAAGTGATAACTTCATTTGTCAGATTGAAAATAGAATGCCTTCTCTATATACATAAGAGCAATTTGAGCATTTCAAATGGTTATAGTATTGTTGATCCACAAACAAAACTGAACATTAGCTTTGTTCAATGCTTAGCTTTGTAAGCACATATACCTACACCAGACTGGTGGTTCTTTCTAGATAATCGTAAAAGATATAAAACATAAATTATGTCCTAAGTTAATAAACTATTGCCAACCAGTTGCTTCCTTGTGGTTGGTGGTTTGAAATTAGAAACAGTGCAATGCTACCTGGACTGTGTGCAAATGTGCTGTGATGGGACTCGGCAATTGGAAGGAAGAGAGCCTGTGCTTTGGTCAGTGATAAACACCTGTAACCTGTAAATAAATAAACCACTTATGTAGTATCTTTATTTTTATAGTAAGATATGCATGTACTCGATTTTAACTTTAACATAAGATTTTATGACTATATAACAAAAACATCTATAATGTTCTTTAAAAATGCAATATAATTATAGTTGGATGTCTTGTTTATCTAATCATTGTAAAAATTATTGTAAGTGAACTGTTATCTTTCAGAAAATCAAGTTGAAAATGATTAAGCATGTTTGGTTTTGCTTATTTCGATTGTCTGTACAGTAAGTACTTAGGTCTTAATTTGGCATTTTGTTGATGAGCCCAACTTATTTTTTTATAAATATGTAATAATAGGTTTGTTAGATTAATATATTTTAAGCTAATAAATAGTTATTTGAAATTAAAAAAAAAAGAATGGTATAAATCCTAATAAGGTAATTTTTGTCTCACCTTACATTTTCTCCTTTTTGTGAATGGTTGAGCCTAGGCTTAGTGTTCCATTCAATGTGCTGTACAAAACATAAGCCAATAATGCATTTAAATAAACTTCACTGAATCTATTCAGGTAGTTTAAGTGCCTATTAAAACAGAAACATTCCAGTAGGATACAGTTAAGTTATTATTTGTTGTTTATGTTTTCTTAATGCAGTAAATGATTATCAACACTACCATGAAAAATAGTTTCACAATGTAACTAGTTGAATCAAGCATTGAGTAATTTACTAGAAGAGGCTTACCAGTAGAATTTTGTGAGCATTAAAATCTTTCACATATAAAATAAACGATAAGCTTACACATATATTGGTGCTCTAATCAATTTACATCATAAGAATGCATGCTATGCACCATATAATGTAGTCTTCAAACTTATTGATTGATTAGATTCAAAGGTACAGTAAGGCCAAAAGGTAGGAAAATGTCTTGTTGTAACTGATGAACTACTGTAAATAGGTCTGTATTATTATACCCTGATGGTTGTTTTTCCAATAACGAACCTACTGTGTATGTACATTTTTAGTGACTTTTTTAAGATACCTGAAAATATTTGCATGGTTGACCCATGAACTACTAACATTTATACTATTTATTATAGGGTTATCATCATCATTATTATTATTTTGTTGATTTATGAGATGAAAAACTCATTTCATGGCATAATAGGAAATGCCCACTTTTCTTCTAAAGTCGTCCATTAAGATAGTGTTGGACAACTTTTCATTCTTCATTTCTTGCCTCTTTATCATTGTTATATCTACAGTAGTTGTGGATCTGTGAGGAATGGGCTGTTTCTGATTCCTTTCCTAGAGGTTGTGGCTCATATCATTATCATTCTGGAAATGTTGGCTATTTAGAAAGTTTATTCCTACTTCCAGTATTTCCTTCAGAAGTTATTGTTTTTAACCCATTACAACAATTCCATTTTGTATTTTACTCATAATTAATAGAGAAATAGTACATCTCATGATCATTGTCTTCCTATTCTGAATAATATTTTGTAGGTTCAGTCATGATTAGGAGCCTCTTGGTCTCTGGTGTGATAAATCTGGTAACTGATCAGTTTTTGTATTCTTCACTTATCACTTGATCCACAGGTTTTTTCTTTGGCTTTGTAGAACATCTGAATTGATCAGTACTAAATGCATTGCTACATCTCTCCACTTCAAGTGTCCTCTCTTTAAGTAACTAACTCCACTGCCTTCGAAATTAGACATTCTTAGCAAATGAACAGATCCCTTTTATGCAAAACAAGTCCATAGTACTTAGTAGACAATGTTGATCAGTTAATTCTGAGTATGTCATGGTACTCTAGCCTTTTAGGAAGAAAGTTGAAATAGTTTTGAATAAAAAAGCACCAATTTGAACCCTGTAATTTAATACAAGTTTAGTTTTATCACTATTTCTCAACCTTGGTTGTGCTGGTGTGATATAATGAAATAATTTTTTCTGTTCTTTTCAATGGTGTAAGCCAGTTTGGCTTCAGTTCAATGGAGAATTGCACAGCAGTTGGAACAAAGTGATAAAAGCTTAGTTTGGTGATATGTTACCAGAAGAAAGGTTTGTGAATGTTTTGCCATGCCGGCTATGTTATTTCTTTTTATCATGAAGTAATACAGTATGTAGCTCCTGTGAGAACCACATAAAAAATTCTTTGTCATCATGATCTGACACACCAGAGATTCATGAAGTACATATGACAAACAACAAAACAAAATGCATTAGACAGTAAATACTAATGTATCAAGGATTAATAAAAGTATTCTTTTTGTTAATATATGTATGTTCCAAAATCATTTTATAGAGAGTTTTTATTTGGTATTACAATTTTTTTCAAGTATGGTGTTCTTCTGTAGTGAAAACTGAATGCATAAACCTTGCTGTAAGAAACAACAGCTTAGAAACAACTTCTAACAGATGTATAACTAAAATGATGAATTTGCTCATAGTGAATAATTAGTGATCTACTAAAAATGCTATGGTGTTTTACAAACCTGTGCTGATGAGTTTCAGGCTTTCTAATGCTAGCACACATCAGTACCACATAGTTATTCTGAATACAGTCTTCACTGCATAATGTTGCATATAGTTTTTAGAACAAGTACATTTTTTCTGCCGTGATAAATACTTGGAGAATTTTGATTAATGATTTATGCTGTATCTAATAAGTCATTTATAACACTGAGTATTATGTATTTGTTGTTAACCACAAAATTATATGATGGACTATTTGTGCTGTGCCCACCACAGGTATCAAAACTCAATTTTTAATCATAAGGCCAGAGACTTAATGCTGAGCTACTGGAGGGGCAAATAAATTATAATTTTATAATTATAACTATTGTTTGTGATTAATTATTTAAAATAATTTGCATGTTAAATCTTTTTTAGCCATATCTCTGGAAAATACAAACATGCATACTTTATAGTTTTAAATCGAAAACTGTGTTATATGTGTGAGAATAGGTAGTCAAACCTCAGAGTTATTAATTTGTAGTCCAGACGTTTTAGTGTGATATGTGGGATTAGATATAGGACAAGGATTCATTGCAGTTTTGCCTTCTTATAAGTGGTATATGTATAAACATGATACATTTGCTCATTTATTTACCAGCTTCTTATGGTAGAAGTAAATATAATTGTTACAATCTAATTCTGTATCTTAGATCTAAAATGGAGTATGAGAGTTTGTGAAATCCTGTACAAGGTACAGATGTTTTTATTCATGTATAAGTAACATAGTCCAAAATTGGATAATGAATGTTTTTTTCTGTTCATATAAGTGGACAATCAGTTTGCAGACCTCATTTCAAAACTTGTATGTTTTCTGGTAGCTAAAGTTGATGGAGTGTGTGATAACTGTAGTTTATGTCTTATTGAGTAATTGTTAATGTATATTTTTTATATGCATCACTATGTTCTATTATGCTTCAGACATTACAGTATTTGTGACTAGATTTTTATTACTCTTAAAAATACTTTCAGTTGCTGTTATATTGGTTTTGTTCTTGTAAAAGAAAAGTGTAGGAATGATAGCAAATTGTACTGTGCCTTAATAAGGAATGTTTTGACCATATTTAGTTATAAGTTGTGCATGTGTTCTGATATAATTCTTAGTAGATTCAACAGACAAAATTTTATTAATTCAGCAATTAACATGAACTGATGTTTTGTTTTTACTTCAAGGGTTTACTTTCACTATTACGGAAACTTAAATCTGCACCAAACAGAGAACTTCGTATCCTCTTGCTTGGTTTAGACAATGCAGGAAAAACTACTATTTTAAAATCATTAGCATCTGAGGATGTAACACACATAACACCAACCCAGGTATGTATGTTTTAATTATAAACTGGTATTGATAAGTGGTGTGTTTAAAAGGTTATTAGGAGAAATTTTAGTGAATGGGACAAAACTTGAAAAATTACTTTTAATATTGAGAAGTGTAAACTCTTAAATATGAGATATGTAAGTATGATAAGGACTTCTTGTGTCATAAGTGCATTATTCTTATTAATTATCAAGGAGTGATCCAGATGAGATTGTTGGTAAAACCCTAAAGCTCTTTATTGAGTGTTTATCTTTGATGAAAATATCAAAGATGTTGATTCTATTTATCAGGAATTTTGAATTTAAGTACAAATAGATTATCCTTGTACAAAACTGTTGAAGTCTTACTTGGGTACTGGTGCAGTTGTGGTTCACTTAAATAAGGAATAGTATCAATGTGTTGTAAAGAGAATAGACACAGGCTACTAATATAAAACATCATTTTAAGAGGAATAAATTTTGGTCATGTTTTATTATGGATATTTAAGAAGAATTAGATTCAGATGCTCAAAAGTTTTAGTGTTTTGAACAGTCTTCTTCTGGGTGCTAGTCTAAGAGTTGGAAGCAAAATCTTAAAAATTGAAGGTAACAAGTTTTAAGTTTAGAATCCCAGATTGAGCTTGTTCTTTGACACTTTTTGTTGTTTCTAGGGTTATGAATTTGTAGAATGGCTTACCTGATGATGTCTTCTATTCATTTGAAGTATTTTAAATGTTACCAGGTAGTTATATGGATTAAGAGTACTATAGTTAACTTGCAATAATAAGTATTGTCATAATATATTTTTTTTGTGAGTAAGAGTTGACCTTAATAGGCCAAATGGTCTGTTGATACCTTTTTGTTCTTATGTTTCTGATATGGTATATTACCTTTTTTTTACATAAATAGCTATTCTCATTTAGTGCTGCCCTCTATATGCAAAATATTTTTTCACATGCTACAAGCCTTGAAGCTCCCACCCATCTGTGAATCAACTGATTCAAATGCCTCTCACATGCAAATCATCATGCAACAACCCTCCACCAATAAGTGTGACACACTCTTTCGATGCATGTGACTCCTTCTATACAATTATACCAAACTATCACTTCTCGTTTAGCAGTACTTGTGTTGTAACATTTAGTTTGTGCTCTCTTTAAGTGTTTATTTTTATTTTATTTTATCCTGAAGCAGATAATAAAATATTAAGTTTATATTTTGGCCTACATATATGAAAGTTAGTGTACAAGTAAGTGTAAACACCAAAAATATTCACCTGTAAATTAAACTAGTTTTATTCATTATTTGTATATTATTTAATTATTAACTGTGGAAATAAGATGATGCTTTATGCAATTAAAGTCCTTTTTAAATTGTGTTATGTGTAAGGACCTGTTATAACACTGCACCATTTAAGCCAATCTGAACTCAAAGTATGTTTGTCTGCATAAGTAATATAAATGAGGTAAACACAACCAGAAGTTAGACTGGATGTAATTTGGGACAACAGCTTTGTTGCCAGGATTCCAAAACCTAATAGAGAGGGATACACAGTGAAAACATTTAGTAGCAACTCTCTCTTGTTTAGACATAACTTGTGAAGGAAATAGTCATTAGACAAAATATCATGAATAATGTCTCTCATTTGTTACTCTGTCCAGTTTATGGTTGCTAAACAAATAATTATAGATTTCATTAGGGTAAGATATCTAGATTATAATTTTTCAGTCTTTCCAATGAAGTGCAGTGTACATTTAGAAGAAAAGTTTTTCTATTACGAATACTTGTTTTTGAATTTAAAAAATGTAAATGATTTTAAGCTATAATAACCATTGCTGAAAATGTCTGACTAAGAGAATCTGGATAACTTATTTTGAATCAAGGAAAGTTAGTAAATACTGTTAGATGTGAATGAACAATCTAACTAATATTTTTTGTCACAGAAATATGTGTATGTTTGTAAATCATAAATAAGAGTAATAAATTATCAAACATACATCATTAAATACCATTAATGTCTAAGACAGTATTTTTTATTTATATCTACTTTGGCAGTTTAAAATATGAAAATTATTCTAGTGCAAACATCATTAGATCTCATAAATACTTACTTGCCCAGAATTTACACACATACACATAATTTCTTACCAGTTTATTTATAATTTCTTGTAAATTAAATGACTATTTCATATTAGTAAATAATATTGGAGAAAATAAGAAGTTTCCCAAAAAGTTTGATGATTTGTTATTACTTCTATGAAGCTGCTAATGATATATTCCAAACAATAGTAATAGTAATATGTCATGATAATTATTTTGACTAATTTTGATACATGTATGCAAGTTACATTATTCTTATACTTTACCACACAATGTTTTCAATCTTGTATTTATCTAACATATATCAAGTGTTGATTTTTTCTTTAAATCAGGGGTTTAATATTAAGAGTGTACAATCTGAAGGATTTAAATTGAATGTCTGGGATATTGGTGGACAACGAAAAATTAGACCATACTGGAGAAACTACTTTGAAAATACAGATGTCTTGGTATGTAATTTTTTCAATTTAATGGTTCTTGTACTTATTAAATTAAATTTATTTGCTGCATTTATTAGTTACCTGGTGTTGTGGAGGGAGAATTATTAAATATTCTTAATTACTAATTGCTTGAAAGCAAATTTGTATGAGTAAGTTGTCACAGTGTTTGTAAGTTTCACCAAAGTTGTGTGAGCATGTAGGTAAAGGTCATAACCTTTTTATAGTTACATTCAAAATTTAATTAAACTTCTTTATTATCAATGTATATCAATAAATGTGACATCAAAATGTGGTGAGTATATCAAGTTTTAATTTCTTAATTTTCAAAAGAATATATTAGAATAAATTCTCAATCTTCATTTCTCTATATTACGTGACACTTGTTTGCTCAAAATTGCTCAATTTTGATATCCTATCCCCTGTTTGAGCTTCTGAGTTGTAATGCAAGTCTCCAATCATATTGGTTTACAGAGATATAAACCACAAAGTAAATCCCACATGCTACACTCTACTATTTCATACAGTCTTTCAAAAAATGTCAGTAGTTCTCTCTTATATTTATAACACATTATTTATAACCAACAGAAAAGGATATTTTAATTTAATGAAGTACATAATAGGCTAGCTTGTCCTCATAACAGCTTTTGAATTATTTGGCCTACAGATGCTATTGCTGACTTCATCTTGACCAAGTAAGGGAAATATTTTAATGCACTTATAGCTTAGTTAAAAAGTGAGTTAAAGTATAATTGTTATAGGGTATTGTATTTTTTGTATGCGTTGTTATTTTGTGTTCATAATAGAATATTTGAAATCAATAAAATTTAGTAAAGTACTAAAATAACCCTACCAAAAATTAGGGTTAACTTTTATTGCAAAAAAAGTACAAGACCCACATATAAGTACAAAAGTTCTTGTTTTATATATATATATATACCGTATTTTTCGGAATATAACACGCATTCTTATTTTGAAAACAAAGTCTTGTGGAAAACTTTACTAACTCCATTACTATAATTTATTTTTTTATTATTTAGGGAGCATTATAAATAGTTATGTTTTTAAAAGAAAAAAAAGAAGCTACTATTGTTATAAATAACACATTCAATTGAACTAAACTATGCATGCCTACCTAAATATATTTATATACATGTATATTATTCATACCTTCGGTGTATAGGACGCAAGCAGATTTTGACATCAAATTTTGGGGTAAAAAAGTGTCTTATACACCGAAAAATACGGTAATAATGATGTTCATCTAACTCACCACCACAAAACAGGCATTTTCAGTTGTTTAAAGTATATGGA